GCTCCCTTTTTTTTTTTTTTTTTTTTTTCATTAATCAAGAACACGACATCCTTTGCTTCAAAATGGTGACTTTCAGCACCCAAAGGTTTATTTTTCTCAATCTAACACTTGTTTATTAATAAAATTAAAGTTCCCTTAATCCAAAAGATATCATATCCTTTAGCAACCCTTTTCTCCTATGCCAAATTGAGATCCTTTAATCTCCCAAAAAAAAAAAAATATTGAGTAATTAATGAATAACAATTATAAACATTATTAAAACATGGTGTTGTTCGATATATCATAATGTTATACTGTAAATCATTACGACCCTTAACCTCACTTGAATAACCTGATATGACTTATGAGTCTTGTCAAAGTTATTGTAACGTAATACTGTAAACTCAAACGTACAACCTATAAATGACTTAACACTTACCGGGTGAATGCATATATGTTAGGAATTAATGGTATTAGAGTTAATTAAGATGTTTTGTTGGGAATATGTTGGATTATTATAGAGTAGGGTTAAGGGCAGCTGTTTTTTTTTTTTTTTTTTTTTTTTTCATGAAAAGGTGACTTTTTGGCTTTCTCTTGGTCTTGGACTGTTATGCATGTAAGCTAGTACATCTAAACTATGCATATTATGCTACTAATTAAAATTAAATATGCATATGGAAGGCTGAATGAAACTTAATTTGTAGCTAAAATATAAGAATAATTATGATGTTTTGTTGAAATTTAAGCAGTAAGAAAGACTTGTGAATGAAGCATTGAAGAAATAATTCACTTTTGAAAGCCAGTGGGTGCAACAACTCCTTCAGAATTGAACTAAGTTTTGCCCTGGAGTCTGACCATCTTGCTGAACCAAAACCTAATCCCGCCAACCTAAAACAACTCTCTCCTCCTCTAGTCTACCTATATAAACGACCCTTCTCTTTTCTCACTTCCTCACTTAATTTTCTATTAAGCAAAGGCCTTCTCTACCTCATTTGGAATTACACAAATGGAGTTCTTCAACAACTCTCATTGCTCTTTCTTCTTCTTCGTCTTCTCATTTGGCCTTTTGCTTCTCCTTGCTTCCTCTGCTAATGCCAAAGTTCACTACCATGATTTTGTTGTATGTTTCATTATTTTCTCTCAAACTTTTCTTTTCTTATATCTGTTTTGATTGTCCTGTTGGATACTAAACTTGTACATTTTGATATTGAAACAGATTCAAGCAACACCAGTGAAGAGGCTGTGCAACACTCACAGTACCATTACTGTCAATGGCATGTACCCTGGACCAACCTTGGAGGTGAATAATGGTGATACTCTTGTTGTCAAAGTTACCAACAAAGCCAGATATAATGCCACCATTCACTGGTATAAATTACTTTGCACCTTTTGCTAGCTTCTTTTCATGCAGATAAACTTCGTACACATAAATCAGTAACCCTTCCTTAATTCTTTAGGCATGGCATTCGACAACTCAGAACTGGGTGGGCAGATGGTCCAGAGTTTGTGACTCAGTGTCCGATTAGACCTGGAATGACTTACACTTACAGGTTCACTATCCAGAATCAAGAAGGCACATTGTGGTGGCATGCACATAGCTCTTGGCTTAGAGCCACTGTTTATGGAGCTCTGATTATTCATCCTAAAGAAGGCTCTTCCTATCCATTCCCCAAGCCAAAACGTGAAACCGCAGTTCTTCTTGGTAATGATTTAACATTCATCTGTTAGTTCGCTTCAAGAATTCAGTTACTTTCTTAACAATTACTGATAATTATGTGCCTTGTTAATGAACAGGGGAATGGTGGGATGCCAATCCTATGGATGTTGTGAGACAGGCTACTTTAACTGGAGCAGCTCCAAATGTATCCGATGCTTACACCATTAATGGCCAACCTGGAGATCTCTACAACTGTTCCAGCCAAGGTCAATTAATTAGCATGCTTAATTTCTTCAGGATTTGATTGCTTGTTGGTTACGCCATGTCATGTTCCCTATAAAATTTGACTCATCTTGTTGTGTTTCACCTAACTTCTTGAAAAAGATTGCATTATCTCGATATTGATTAGACAGCTTGAATTCCTAGCTTATTGATAAAGACATGGGTTGTCCTGATTGTTGTGCAGATACTGTGATTGTTCCAATTGACGCTGGTGAGACCAACCTCGTGAGAGTTATCAATTCGGCCTTAAACCAGCCACTTTTCTTCACAATTGCCAACCACAAGTTCACAGTTGTTGGAGCTGATGCCTCTTATCTCAAACCCTTCACCACTTCAGTTATTGTCCTGGGACCTGGCCAAACCACCGATGTTCTAATCCAAGGTGACCAGCCTCCATCTCGATACTATATCGCTGCGCGAGCCTACGCCAGCGCCCCAAATGCCCCATTTGACAACACCACAACCACAGCTATTCTTGAATACAAATCTGCCCCTTGTCCCAAAAAGGGTGTCTCTGTCAAACCAGTTATGCCACCCTTACCAGCTTTTAATGATACAAATACTGTCACAGCATTCACCACCAAGTTCAGAAGTCCCCAGAAAGTTCAAGTCCCAACTGAGATTGATGACAGCCTCTTCTTCACAGTTGGTCTTGGACTCAACAACTGTCCTCCAAATTTCAACTCCAATCAATGCCAAGGACCCAATGGTACTCGTTTCACTGCCAGTATGAACAATGTATCTTTTATGCTACCAGCAAACTTCTCTCTCCTGCAAGCACATCACCAAAGCATTCCAGGAGTTTTCACCACCGATTTTCCTGCAAACCCTCCGTTGAAATTCGATTACACCGGAAACGTTAGCCGATCGCTCTGGCAACCTGTTCCCGGAACTAAATTGTACAAGTTGAAGTTTGGCTCAAAAGTGCAGATTGTGTTACAAGACACAAGCATCTTCACACCAGAAAACCACCCAATTCACATCCACGGATATGATTTCTACATCATCGCTGAGGGTTTCGGAAACTTCAATCCCAGGACTGATACTTCTAAATTCAACCTTGTGGATCCACCTCTCAGGAACACAATTGGTGTGCCTGTAGGAGGATGGGCAGTCATTAGATTTGTTGCAGACAATCCAGGTACATAAATTTACAATCAACTTCACATCTTTCTTCTTCCAAAACCATTTCAAAATATGATGCTTAAACCAAAATTTTCTTTTTCCAGGAGTGTGGATAATGCACTGTCACTTGGATGTTCACATTACATGGGGTCTGGCCATGGCCTTTTTGGTAGAGGATGGAGTAGGAGAATTGGAGGCACTGGAAGCACCACCACCAGATTTGCCTCTATGTTGAAGACGATCAACATAGTTAATTACAAATACATCATAATTATATTGAAATTCATAAGCCCAATTACAAGAAGGGTAGTCTTATTTTGTTTGAGTGTTGTTTTCCCTGCATTTGGGGACATAGTTCTTGCTTCTTTTTTTTTTTTTTTTTTTTTTTATGTTCTTTTGATAGGTAAAGTGGGTCTAGAGGAGATGGTGCCATGGTTGCAACAGTGAGCACCATCATCCTATTTAGATAAAGACCCGCCGCGTTTCTTTCATTTACAGATGTACTCTTTTTTCCTATAGGGAACAATAGAATTTCAGTTTTTGAATAGTGTTATCGTGCCGTCAGAACATATAGGGTGTATTTGTTATTTTACAAACCTCATGGGCCTATAGGAAAAAAAGTCAGAACATAAGTTACTAGTAGGGGTGTTCGGTTCCTGGTACCCTACACTTTTAGAAGGAACCAAAACCCACGGTTCCTTGAAATTTGGAACCAGAATCGAAACTGACTGTTCCGGTTCTTAGGTACCCAGAACCAGAACCTGTAACAACGGTTTTGGTTCCGGTTCTGGGTACCCTATAAAATTCATGACCCCCCAAAAGTTTTTAAAATGGCAAAAAAACCCTTAAAAACTTACAAATACCCCCCCACCTGGCACTTGTTAATAAAAATAAAATTACAAATTATAAATTCAAAATTACAAACTCCATTACTTTGTAAAGGTAGATTCTCAAAAGTCAAACCAACTTACTTTAAATGTTATGAAATATAAATATAAATGTATTCACATTATTTTTTCTACAAAAATTTTTATTAACCCTCCTAATCTTTAATTTTATTTTATATTAGTCTCGGTTCCTGGTTTCTGATTCTGATTCTGGTTCCTAACTATAGGAACCGAAACCAGAACCGCACAGTAATGTTTCCAAAAATTTGAAACCGGAACCTACCTATTGACGACTGGTTCTGGGTGGGAACCGAAACTAAACCCAGGGTATTTGCCGGTTCCGGTTCCAACCGGTTCTTTTGAACACCCCTAGTTACTAGTACTACTAATCTCATGGGCCTCAATAATTGCACCGCTCTTACTTAAAATGGGTATACCAGTCCAGTATGGCAAAATGGGCTAATAAGGTCCAACATTTAGCCCAAATATTTGGTCTTAAGCAGATTTCATGGGCCTATATATGATTAAATGATACTCAAAGACCTTAAAATAATACCTTAAACTTATCACTGCTAATATAGCTTTTAAGTGAAGTGAAGGGCAAGGTTGAAACAACCGACGACTTAAGGTGGATTTTGGAGCTAAATTTCAATCCAAAATACTATTATATTAGGATATGAATTTTTCTAATATGTTTCTAGGGTAAGATTATTTCTCTTTTAAGAATATAATTAAGAATATGAATATAATTGTAATAGGAATTAAAATAAAAGTCTTGATAAGAGATTTGGTTCCTATTAGGAATAACATTAATCCCCATCGGAAATTATGTTTAGTCCGACGATATATTAGAGTTTATTTGTGCAAATTAAGCTGATTAATTAATTATATCCCTTGATTAAGTGTAATGTCTAAATTCTACTCATATTTCAAAAAATCTTTAAGAGTAAACAAAATCAGGATTGTATATCGCAAAACAAAAACACAAAAGATTCAAGACTTGGAAAACATTTCTTGATCAAATATTTCTTCAAAGTTTTACATCTAATGAACTACCTATGAAAACATTTCTACGTCGATGAGAAGTAAGAGGATTCACTAGTCATATCTATATTACAATGAAGGCTGCTCGCCTCAAAATCCACGAAACTTTGTATCACCAAAACAGACATCATGCGAAAATCCCCGGATGCAATCATATCACCAATGACTCCAAGCTCCTCGTACTCCATCCATGGCTTCATTTCCTTCTCCAATCTTGATTTCGGCCCTCGTCTCTTCCCCACAATCACAAGGTCATAATTGTTCGCCTCACGAACTGCATCAACTAATTGCATTGTGTTCTCAGCTACTATCTCATAACACACCACACCTGAATTTCCTATATTCCTTGCCATGAATTCCTTTAATACACTGTCGTCAAGACTCCTCTCCATTTCATTTTCTTCCGCCATTAAAATTCTGAACACTGTAATGCTCACATCCGGGTTGCGAGACATGCGTGCAGCCAATGACATTGCCTCTCGGTCGTCAGGTCCGCCCATGAAGAGCACTGCAACGTTATATCTGAGCTGGGTTGAGCTCAAACTTCGCGGCAAGCCCCTGTCGAATAAAATGCCGACCGTGCAGGGTGCGTATTCTTGCACATTGAGGGTAAAATTGCGCAAGCTGGTCGATTTTGCGTTTGTTTCTCGAGATTTACGGAAGGGAAGAACAATGAGCGGGATGTAGCTATGTTTAGCTAGATTACAAATGTTTTCGTGCATGGTGTTGTACGGCGCAATTATTGTATAAGGTACAACGTTAACAGGAATATAAGAGGTTTTGGAGTATTTCATGACAGCACGCATGATACGATCTGTGGAATTTGATATTATTCTCTTTTTCCTGGTGTTGTAATGGAGTAAAAGCGGTACCGATCGACCCACAAGCTCAACGAGGTGAACTACATAGGCGCATATCGGATTTTCCCCACTTGTGTTGGTTACTTTAAGCAGAGTGATGACGCTGTGAACATTGTCTTCAAAGTGAAGGCAGCAAAGGATTCGTAATTCAGATTCAAGTGATGTTGTTTGAAGATTCTTCATGTGGAAATCACGCCAGTGAGTTGATTCCGGTCTTATATGAGGCTTGTAGAAGATACTTATTAATGGCGTTATAATCACAGTCATCACTACGTGCGATAACACAAATGTAGTTAAAAACTCATCATCTATGATCTGCACCGTATAAAATTAAAGATTAATTAATGATGTTATCAGGTCAGATTGTATGTAAGAGTTTGAATATAGGTATAAGAATAAGATGATTAATTACCCCGACTGTTCTCCAACGCAAAACTGCTATGTAGTCGATTACTCCTTTAAGGTTTAAGATGAAGCTGAGTAAGACAGCAGTTCGGAAACTTGATCTGGAGAATAGCATGCCCACAACAGTTGCAACCGTTTTGCCTAAATATGATGAGATGATGACCAAATTAAGTAAGACAAATTTCTTCCAATCCGTGATGGCGTATATATTGGTGTAGCTAGCGATCCGAACAAACAAGAAAGGGATAAAAAAGTTTGTATTCACCAACTCACATTTCTCTACTATTGATGAACCTAAAGGAGGTCCAGCTGGTACAATTAAGCCCATCAATAGAGCCCCCGGCAGAAAAGTCTTATCAAACGCTTCACTAGCCATTCCCATAACTAAGGGTCCAAGAAGTATTGCAGTAGTGTAAATTTGTTTTACTGGTCTCCCTTCTGGCGTTGTTCTGATAATCCATTGAATTGCTGGCCTAAGAACGAAGAAGGCAAATAATACCAATCCCAACATGCTAAGCTTGCTCGCGATTATCCCATTCAAACTGTCTCCTTGATGGATAATTAGTGATGAAGACGCCAAGAGAATCCATCCAATTGCATCTTTGATTATTGCACAAGACAAAGCTAGCTGGCCTAGCTCAGAATTTATGAGGTTGAGTTCATTCAAGGCATGAGCAACGACAGAGAAATAACTTAGCGACATATTGGAACTAAAGGTAAAAATGAAGGTCAACCCAGATGCTTCAAGAATGTAACCGCGTAGCAAATAAGTGGTGACAGTGGTGACTGTAAAAGGAATTAGGAAGCCTGTCAAGCCAATATTCCAGGCCTTCTTTGTCGTTCTTAACAACATATCCTTGTCCATTTTCACTGTACTTATGAAGATGAAATAAAGAATCCCGATTCTCGATATTGAAACAATCGCCAACATCTCTTTTGGTTGAAAAAATCTGTCCTTGAATGCCTTGTTTTGACTCATGAAAGAGGGTCCTAAGATAAATGCACTCTGAAAATCAACCAAACACCATCACCAATACAGAAATTTCAATAAAGAACTCTGATAATATACAATTAATAGAATATGATAAAGCACATACCAAGACATTAGAGAGGATTTTTGGCTGTTTCAAAGGCTTAAGAACAAAGTGGATCATTTGGGAGGTGAAAAACATCAAAATGCTTTGAAACATCATAGTCGAGTAGACATTATTCAAAGGGTCATTTCCAGTGAAAATTCCGCCGGAGTAACCTTTCTCACTATATGATGCACAAACCCTGTTTCCATCAACCATCTTGTTTGGCAAATGCTGCATTCAATTTTGTCAACTCAGGTGTCCCAGAAATGATCTCCTCCAATTACCCTCAGAAAAGGAATTGGAGAAGATCACTCAATTGCAAAAAATCGAGGTTTAGATTGAAAGACAAAATATTAATGATCAGGGTATTTTAAACAAGAGAAGAAAATCTGTGACAGCATAAATATATTATATCAAAAGAAATATAGGTTAAAATTTGGTATTTCTATTCGTTAATTCAAGTATTCAACTGTTTCTTTGAAACTTCTTGTTGTTATCTGTTTAGATTTTACATTTTTTGCCTGAGAACGTTTCGGAAATATTGTCAAAGAATGAGTTGTAACATGGTGGCATAAACGGTTCAATTTTCCTTCAATAAAGCTCTGAAGAAAGACATAATTTGTGTTTGGTCAATGCCAACTCCCAATTTATCCAATATGGGCTGGTAATTGTAATCTTATATATACTTAAAAAAATTTGCCAGATAATAATTAAATTTTAGATATTATCACAAAAAATCTTTCATACAAAGCGACATATCAAATATATATGATTGGATAAATTAATATAAAAATCATTCATTATCATTTACTATACATTTATTAAGTTGATTTTTATATTAATTCATGCAATCATATTTTGATATGTCACTTTTTATGTACAAAGTCTTTGGAAGTGTAGTATTACTCTAGGAAAGAGTAAACCACATGATTTTTGGGTAGATGGAAATAGTATAAAGAATGACAGAATGAGACCCCCGACAAGGGAATCTCTACGACAGTTTAAACATCCTGGACATTCTCAGGAACCAAACAAACACAGCAAAAGCAAAAAAACAGCAAAAAAAGTTCAAACATCCTGTGGGCAAACCACACGGAAGCCTAAGACAGCAGTCCAGCAACACGAAAAAGGCAGGCCTTAAATCAAACCAAAAAACCAGCCTGAACAAATTTACATATAGACAAAGCAAACGACATATTCCCACTTAAGGATTAATGAAATCCCAATACTTTTGGTTGTATTTATTTCAAATTTACACATTTAAAGTAATGTCGTTTTCTTTATTTAACAGATTCCTAACTTTTTACTGTACCGTGTTTCTTTGGCTGAAGATGAGCTCATGTTAGCAGAAGGTGACTCACGTTACCATTGTCCAAGCAAGCAGCTTTTTGGCTTTTTTGACCTATTCCAAAGTCTAAAATCACTTCCAAAACCACCGTTAGACTCTCTACAACCTCTTTTACAAAACTCATATCTTCATTTGTCGATCCCACTCACCGTTTTCGACTATTTCTAACAGTAACTAACGGTGTTAGTTTGAGAGTGAGAATCTGGAATAAATGCGATCGTATCAACTTTGGATTTCGTTAAAGGGAATATATGGTTTACTTCTCTAAGAAAATTTGATTTTAAAAGTTGCACTGTAACAATGTAGAGAAAACAAGCATAGATCAGTATACGACTTCAAGACACGGAACAAGAATTTTATATATACTTCTATTTAAAACTTGTTTTCTCATGACTTTTTACATCTGGTGTGGCACTATCTATGAGATGTACTAAGTGTTCTCTAAGTTTGATGATGAGAAATTAGAAGAACTATCACTTGTCACTTCTGTATAGCTCAAAAAAGGAGCAAAAAAGCCACTACGTTCAGCATCCCCAAAACTATGCATAGCCAACACAGACACCATCCCCCAACAAAATTCTGAAGATGCAATCATATCACCAATCACACCCAGTTCCTTGTATTCCGTCCATGGCAACAGTTCTTTCTCCAATATCGATTTCGGCCCTCGTCTTGTTCCTGTAATAACAAGATCATAATTGTTGTCTGCGGAACGAATTACATCAACCAAATCTTTAGTGTTATTTGCCACTGTCTCATGACACACCACACTTGCATTACCAATATTTGTTGCCATAAAATCCTTTATTACCATTTCATCAAGACTCTTCTCGCTATCATTGTCCGCTTGACCGTAAACTTCTACCAGGAGTATCCTTAACACAGTAATGCTAACATCTGGATTGGTACTCATGCGTTTAACCAATGCCATTACCTCTCGATCATCATGTCCACCTAAGAAGAACACTGCAACATTATATGAGAAATGGGTTGAGTTCAAACTACGCGGCAAGCCCCTATCTAATAAAATCCCAACCGAGCATGGCGAATAAGTTTGCAAATGAAGGTTAAAATTGCGCAAACCGGTTGATCTCTGGCAAGTTTCTAGGCTACTATTAAAGGGAATTAATATCAAAGGGACAAAGTAATGTTCAGCTAGATTGATAACACTTTCGTGCATGTTATCGTAGGATGCGATGATCCTGTAGGGCTGAATGGTGACAGGAGCAATAGAGGTTTTGGAGTATTTTGAAACAGCAGCTATTATACGATCAGTAGCATTTGTTGTTGATCTCCTTTTACGGAGATCGTAAGGTATTAACATGGGTATTTGTCGACCAACAAGCTCAACAAGGTGGACTATATAGGCACATATTGGACCTGTAGTATTTGTGTTGGTAGCTTTAAGAAAAGTGATGATGCTGTGGACATTATCTTCAAAGTGAACACCACAAAGGATTCGTAATTCACTATCTAGTGCCGTTGTTTGGAGTGTTCTCCTGCGAATTTCTTTTGGGTCACAAGGCTTACCTGCTGTTTTACGAGGCTTGTACAAAATAGCTATTAGAGGCTGTATAATTGCGGTTAGTAGTATTCTTGAAATCATTATTTGTGTATAATATTGTTCATCCACTATCTGCACCATATGAAATTTACTAGAATTAGAACATAATATAAAACCAAATAACAGAAGAAAGAGAAATTAAAGAAAGTATATATATAAGTATAATTAACCTTATTTACTGTCCAACTTATGGGTGAAATAAAGTCAAGTATACCCTTGACATTTAACATTAAGCCGACTATTATAGCATTTCGGAGACCTGGTTTGAGGTATAGCAAGCCGAAATAAGTTCCAACCATTTTCCCAAAATATGCTGCCAAAAGGATCAGCTCAAAAGAGATGATTTCTACCCAATTTTTTAATGAGTAAATGTTGGTGTAAAGACCGATCCTTATATGCAAATAAGGGAGTAAAATGTTTGAGTTAACGAATTCACATTTCTCTACTACTGTTGAACCCAAAGGAGGTCCAGCCGGTATAATTAAACCCATCAATACAGCCCCCTGGACAAGGTTTCCTTCATTACAGTCGCTCAATGCTCCCATGACTAAAGCTCCAAGTAGTATTGCGACGACGTAAATTTGTTCTATCGGTTTTCCCTCTGGCGTTTTCTTGATAATCCACATCATTTGTGGACGTAGAATAAAGACTGAGAATAATAACATTGCAATTGTGGAAAGCTTGCTATAAAGTAGCTCCAGTGTGAAACCTTGTTGGAGAATTGAAAAAAGTATCATTACACCATATGCAACTATGTCTTTGCTTAGTGCACAAGATAGAGCTAGATGACCTAACTCAGAATTTACGAGGTTGAGATCATCCAAGGCGTGAGCAACAACGGAGAAATAACTTAACGATAAATGAGAAAGTATTGTCATAAGTGCCCAGTCTCCAGAAATTCCATTTTTAATCTGGTTGTGTACCAAACGACTAACGCAAAAGCTGGTGATGAAAGGAAAAATGAAGCCTGTGAGACCAAGACCCCATCTCCTTTTTAACGTGTGTAGCATAAGAGACTTGTCCAATTTCACAGAAAATATGAAGATGAAGTAAACTATCCCCACTCTCGCTATTGTCTTATCCCACAATAGCGATTTTGGTGAAAATATTTTGTCATTGAATGCCTTGTAACCTCCAAGGAAAGAGGGTCCTAAAATAATTCCACCCTTCACAAAACATCAACATTAATTAATTGATACATAATTAGGAACAATTGCTAATTAATTCTTTCAATATAAGAATGAAATAAAAGCATGACATACCAACAAATCGGAAATTACTTTCGGTTGTTTCAGAGGCCTGAGAGCAAAGTACATAATTCGGGAGGTGAAAAAAAATATAATGCCTTGAAGCAAAATGGCAGGGAAAACTGATTTCAAAGGATCATTTCCAGAAAAAATGCCTCCAGAGTAACTCTTTGGAGTATATGGCATACAAATTCTGTTTCTCTCTTTAGTACTACTCATCTTGTTCGGCAAATGTCAATGTTTTGGGTTGTCTAACGAAATGAATACAACCTGCGCATAATTCCAGGGATGAATTGAAACATATAACAAATCTCAGAACTATTTCACGGGAAATCTTTTTGTTGTTTTTTATTCACTTTTGGCACAAAATGATTTAGAGAAATTGTTAAAGAATGAATTGAAACATATCGTTGATTTTTTTCAGTCATAAACAATGGAGCTCTAGAAAAGAGGAGGCTCAAATTATTTGCGGGAAATTAGAGTCGGATATGCTGCAAACACTGGGTAAATAATAAGTCCTATTCTCCAGGTATAACTTTTGTTCTATGTCAACGCTAAATCACAAACGTACAACTTCTTATAAATAATTGGATTTAAAGAAAATTAATATATAGTTTTAACCAACGATTACTTGTCATCAAGACAGTAGTTATGTTATGTTCAATACCAATATAAATCGTATATATATATCAAAATTTTACAATTAACAGACGGGAATTAATGATGAAATTTATGGCCCATTAATAGTCCAATCTAGGATGAAATCATAGGGCTCATTTAATTTGGCTTATTTTGAATAGAACTTTCGAAAATCTAGTTTTTATGAAAAAAAATTGTTGCTTGTTTGATTAGGAGAATGTAAAAGAGTTTTCTAGTTCTAATTCACCAAAAAAGGGTTTTAATATACATTAATAGATCTAGTTAAATTTATAAAATAAAAAATAAGCTCCACAAGAGGGGCAAGAAGCTCAAATTTTTAAGGAAGATTTATCATCTTTCTACCAATAAAAACTCTTGCTAAAATTGTAAGAACTTTATCTGCATTACATATTTTCTAACTTTTTTTAAAGATGTATTTGGTTTTAATTTTTTAAATTGTTCTAAATTAAGGGTAATTAATATCCGGTAGATGACCCTTAGCAAATATTTGAACATCACTAGTACTTAAAAATTTCATTAAAACCTTATTATTATTATTTTTTTTGAACCTCGACGATTGATATGTGAGAAAATTTTTGGTAAAAATAAAAATACGTCTTGCTAGAGGGACATGTGAAACCCTTTGTAATGAAAATTCCAGTTAATTATACTTAATAGTTTATTAACAATCTTTTTGCAAAGAGTTTGAAGCCATAAATGGAATGGTCATGGATGGGGAGAAGCTGGAATATATACGGGTATGTATACATTATCCCTTTTGATAGCTTATTTGATTTATATATGTTACGTCCAAAAAATACAAGGGCTAACGTCAGGTCTATTTAGCCCACAAAAGTCAGATCATTGGAACAACCACCGCCTGCGTCCGTCAGGATAGTGGGTGCGCGTCAGGCTAGTCAAGAGCTGTGGTGCTTGCACGTGTCCAATCCCTACTCTAAATCTCGCAAATCACTCTGGAAGGTGGGCAATGTGACATAACGAAGGATTTGCACAGATAATCCCACTAACTTACAGATTTAGTGATCATTACCTCAAGGCATCCCACTATAAAATGGGAGCTCCTCTCTCATTAAAAGGGATTAGCACATTTTACGCTTGATTAAGTACTCTCTCTTTCCTAGAATTCTCAGCATTTGATACCTTGTAACATTATTGTAAAGTCAGTCAGCTAAAAGCGACCTGACCTTTATCATCCATATAAGCATCAGTGGACGTAGGACTTGCTACCTTAGCATCCGAACCACTTTAAAAACTGTCCCCATTGCATGTACTATCTCTTAATCCATAACATTCACGTGTGTCTTCTGGGTCCACATAGCATTTCACACGTGCGTTTCGTTGGTGCAAAAACGCACATCAACAATATATTTTGATTCAGCCCTTCAAATTGCCTCATTTCGGCGTTTTCTTGATTTTGTTATTGTTTTGATTTAGATTTCTTTAATCTGGATGATCCATTATGATTTGACTCATTGTAGTTTCTTGATTTTTGTTAGTTACTCATTATATTGGTTGTGTTATAGCTCTCCGTGTCGGGGTGTAATCGAGTCCAGCTGCACCTGACCAGCCTACAAGCAGCTCAGGCTTGGCTCAGGTCAAGCTCAAGCTCGAATAACTCGAACGACTGATAAGTCGAGTACCAAAATTAATGATTATTAATTTCATTAACTAATCAAGAGAAATTTAAGACTTCAATTCCAAGGTTTGCACCCCTGGAAATATAATCTACTTTTAATGCCAAGGGAGGAAAATACAAAAGAAATCAAATAAGACGTTATACACACACACACACACATTTATTTTCTCTTTTCTCCACTTAACCACTGCTAAGAGTGGTTAATAAAGATAAATGCATAGACGGTGGAGTTTTATTGAATGGTCGTATACTTTCTTTACTTGAAAGACAATAACTGCAAAAGTTCTTCTGTGGGATAGACATATGTACATCCGTCCAATCACAATACAATGTGATTGGACGTGATTGGATGGTCACACATATACCCATCCCACAGAAGACTTCACTCTTCACTAACTAATCAGTACACCATGAAATTAGCTAAGTAGTATATATATATATATATATATATAGGGTTGTGAGTTAGGTTGGACCACCAACTTGGGCGCAACGTCTTTGGGCCTGGGGTAACCTAGGAGTAGTTATCCATTCGCCTACCCTGGGCCCTATTGATTTTGGTCCGATATTTTTCTATAACCCAATTCTTCTCTTCGATTCTATGGGCTTAGATAAAAGTAAATTTGCTTTGATTTCCTCCTTAAGCCCATTAGAGAAGATATCCATTAGTAAGTCTTCTCCTACCTCTTGCAGAGGAGCTGCATGTGCTTCAAAGTGTTCCAGGAATTCAGTTACAGTGCTAGTTTGCTTCAAGGTGACCAAAGCCTCATAAGCTGATCTTTTGAAAGATGGCCGGAATCTGTTGATCAAGGCCGACTTAAAGGTTCCCCAAGATATTATCAATTTAATACCCGGCCCTCTATACACACGGCGGTAGCCTCCACTTTTTCTTCCTCTTCATATTGATTGATAACGAAATACTGATTAGCCCTAAAGGTCCACCGATATGGATCATCCCCATTGAAAACAAGTAATTCTAGCTTCTTAATTCTCTTGTCTTCTCTACCAATTTCTCCTCCATTTGATCGGTCATGAACTCCACTTTCTTCACTATTTGAATTTTCCGTCATAGCAACCTTGCCCTTTTCACAGCTCTGGCTTTCCTCCTTCTTGTCCCTTAACCTCATCCACTCTCGGAATTCCAGTAGATACTCCTTAACGCTTCCCAAATCCTCCTTCACAGATCCCATCTCCTTTTCCAAACCATCAATTCTATTCTCCACTTTTGTTTTAACCATTCCCTAACTCAATTCTGATACCGATTTAATAGGAACTTCAATATAATCAACAATTCAAATGAACCAAACACTCACAATCATGCAAGCACAGAAACTAAAATTATAAGTATTATATTGAGATGAATTATATTGATAAAAAAGTAACAAATTAATGCCTAACTCATTCTTACTGCCCTTCTGCCCACTAATGCCTCTTCTCCTCTGTTTTAGATAATCTTAGTATATATGTATATATATATATATATATATAAAATATAAAGTGGTCTTCTAATAATTTAAATACTGTATAAGTTTATTAAAAAATATATATATATGAAACGACATCGTTGTTTGAAATGATCAGTAAACCCTTTATGGTTCTGTAAATCTCTAGAAAGCCCACTTTTTAGGATTCTGGATCTCGATGGACTTAACTGATATTAATAGGACAACTGAAGGATGTAATGGATATTTATCATAAGAAGATGAAACGACAACGTTTCCCCACTCAATTCCCGCCCATAAACCGTTAGCTACTGGGAGCATAGTGTTTCAGAGGAGAGCAAATCTTGCTTCTTGAAATTTATACATTTTTTTTCTCTTCCTTTACTTTCCTTCGAAGATGGATGAAGAGAACCCACCGCAAGACCCGCAGTAGAATCCAACGCCGATTGAAGAGAACCCACCATCGTAAGAGAACCAACTTGCAGTGGGAAATATTTAGCTGAAGTGAAATCTGAGATCAATTCGAGAAGATTACGCTACAAGCAAAAGTCATTCTCAGGATTTATTGATAATCTTTTTGCAAAGAGTTAAAGCCATAAATGGAATGGTCATGGATGAGGAGAAGCTGGAATATGTACGAGTATGTATACATTATCCATTTCGATAGCTCATTTGATTTATATATTTTGGTCCGGCCTTTCAAATTGCCTCATTTTGGTGTTTTCTTGATTTTGTTATTGTTTTGATTAAGAATTCTTTAATCTTCATGACGCATTATGATTTGATTCATTGTAGTTTCTTGATTTTTGTTAGTTACTCATTATATTGGCCGTGTTTAGGCTCTCCATGTAGGGGTGTAACCGAGCCGAGCTGCCTGCGAGCAGCTCAGGTCGAACTTGAGTTCAAATAACTCGAACGGTTGATGAGTTGAGTACCAAAATTAATGATTATTAATTTTATTAACTGATCAAGAGAAAATTCTTACTTCAATTCCAAGGTTTGCACCCTTAGAAAAATAATATACTTTTAATGCCATGGGAGGAAGATACGAAAGAAATCAAATAATATTGACAAATTAAAACCTACAATACTATAAGATAAATGGATCTCCTAATAATTTAAATATAAGTTTCCTTAAAAAAATATATATATTTCTAAAAATATTTCTATAATGGTGGAGATTAGTTAACTCCAAACTACCACCTATCAACTATCATTTACCAATTACCGGATTAATTACAAGAATCTAGCATATACAAGAGTATTCTAGAAAGTTCTAGAATGTTGGGATGACGCTTACTAAGTGTTTGATAAAATGCTTGAGAGGCATCACACAAGAGTACTTCGGAAGGTTCTAAAATATCGGGGTGACGCACACTAAGTATTTGATAAAATGCTTGAGAGGCGTCACACAAAGGAGGAAGATATGAAGGAAATCAAATGCGACATTTTATTTTCAAGGTATTGTGTTTTTTATAGGTCAACACTAAATATAGTTTTAATAAAATCATATATATATATATAGTGACGATTACATAATATGGACAAATTAAAACCTACAATATTATAAGATAAATGGATCTCCTAATAATTTAAATATAAGTTTCCTAAAAGAAAATTAATTCTAAATTTATTTCTACAAAAATTCTCTAAGAACTATCCCGAAAAGGAAGTATAAAAGAGACAAATTTTGAATAAAAAGGATTTCATATTTTTGTACAAATTATCTCAAGTACTCTTTCAGATGCACGGCCAAAAGTTCTACCATGATAACTATCATCTCCAGTAGAAGTAGAGAAACCACTTGATATTTCTGAAGAGGTTATTACAGTTGATTTAAGGCTTCCACGAACAGTTACAGCAGACTGTATCACCAAAATTGATGTCATTCCTCGATAAAAGTCTGAAGATGCTATCAGATCACCAAGAATACCAAGCTCTTTTTGCTCAACCCATGGCACCATTTCTTTTTCCAATATAGAATTGGCAACTCGCCTCTTTCCTACTGTAACAAGGTCATATTTGTCTTCTATAGAGATTATTGCTTTCATGACTTGAACTGAATCATATGCCTCAATCTCATGAAACCCCACACTTGAATTATTAATAGTCCTTGTTCGAAATTCTTTAACCGCAGTATTATCAAGATCCGTCTCCAATTCATTTCCAACAAGATAATCTCCTTTGAAGTCAATCAGAAACACAGTAATGACGAAACCAGGTTGACTACTCATTCGTGAAACAAATGCCATTGCTTCTCTATCATCAGGCCCTCCTAAGAAGAAAACCACAACATTGTAAGAGAAGCGGCGAGAGCTCAAATGATGAGGCAAGCCTCTATCTACGAAAATCCCAACTGTGCATGGTGCATAGGCTTGTATTTTAATGTTTAAATTGCGGAAGATGGCTGTTTTTGTATCATCTTGTTGGCTTTTATGAAAGGGAATGATAAGAAGAGGGATATATTTATCTCGTACTAGATTGCAAATGCTTTCGTGCATGGTTTGCTATGGAGCAATCATTGTGAATGGCTGACTCGTGACAGAAAAACGCGATTTGTTTTGTGAATTTTGTCAAAGAACGCATAATCCGATCATTGGAATTTGAATTCAATTTAAACCTATGGTTATTATAAGGGACTAAAAGTGGTACAGCTCGACCAATAAGCTCCATAAGGTGGACTGCATAGGCACAAATTGGACTTATTTCAGTAGGAGTCCATGCTTTAAACAGAGTGATGAGGCTGTTGACATTATCTTCATTGTTAATGCAGAAAAGGATTCGTAATTCCACTTCTAGTGGCATCCCTTGGAGTGGCTTCATCATGCGTTGCTCAATTGATGAGCCAGTCGACATGAGTCTTCTTTCAGGCTTATAAAAGATATGTATTATAGGTGCTGAAATTGCTGTCACTATCATATGAGACAACATCAATGTAGTTAAAACTTCGTCGTCTACCAACTGCACAACAAGAAATACTTGTATATATATATATATTAGACCAAAAAAAAAAGGGGCAAACTATGTAGAGAATAAAAACAAAAAAGAATAAGCGATTGAAGTATTAACTAACCAGGCGCATTCTCCAACCTCCAATAAGGACATAATCAGGCATGCCTTTGAAGTTTAAAATAAAGCCGAATAAGAGAGAATCTCTAAGGCTTTTCTTGAAGACGATGAATGCCAACATACTAGCAAGGATCTTCGATAAATACGCGGTGACCAAGATAGACTCAAGTACAAAAAATTGCTGCCAATTGGTTATTGTGGATATATTGACGTTCTGACCCATGCGAATGTGGAAGAATGGCAAGAAAATATCTGAGATTATAAACTCACTTTTTTCTACTAGTGCTGAACCTAATGGTGGCCCAGCTGGTATAATTGAACCCATCATTAGAGCTCCGGTTATATAAGATGAACCTAATAAATCACTCATCACAGAAACCACCAAGGTAAGAATTAATAATCCAATGATATATTCTTTATTCACCGGTTTCCCCTCCGGTGTGCTCCTTATAATCATCATAACCGCTGGCCGTGCAATGAAGAATACAAATAATAACACTGCAATCAGTAAAACCTCCGCTTTAATTATCATATATTTATCATCCCCTGAAAGAAATATTCCCAGTGCCATATTACACCACCCAACTAATTCATGGAATATTGCGCAAGCAAGGGCAAGTCTGCATAACTCAGAATTAACAAGATTGAGATCAACAATGGCATGTGCATGCAGTAGACGAAAAATAAGAACTCGTTAAGATAATGCTGAAAAAGTATATGAAGGGTCCTGGTGTAACTCCAGGCATGTAGCCTATAAGTAAACTCGTGAGGATCATAGTGATTATGAAAGGAATCATCAGGATTGTCAAACTAATTTTCCAAACACTCTTAGCCATATTTATGGTCATGACTGTGTCAATTTTTACTCCAATTATAAAGAATATGTATATTATGCCGATTAAAGAGGTTGCATTAATCATAATCATCTCCTCTGTTGGAAAAAAATTATCCCAGGGTTTCTTGGTGCGGCCTAGGACAGAGGGTCCTAAGATAATTCCACTCTGCAGGAAAGAAATTAAAATTCATCACTAATATATTAAATCTGCAAGTATAAAGGGACGGAGCCACTAAGGGGTGAGTGGGTGCTCATGCTCCCCTGAATTTGGAAAACCCTTCTATTTTGTGTTTTAACATTAACACCCCTTTATTTCATTTTATGAAAAGAGTAAACAACTTTTTCCCACCCAAGGTTTGCCGACATTTTTCCACTCAAAAAGTTTCAAAATACCACTTTCCCACCCAAAGTTTATATTCTGTTAATACCCAAAATATACTTCACTTTCTCAGCTGACGTTCAGTGAGTTACTAGGAGCCAGAGTAAGAGGGGTTTTATAAAGTGGAGGACAATGGATAGAATGGTGGTGACCGATTGAATATTCACTATCGGAATCAGCTAGAAATCAGCTAAGAACAAGAAATCTTAGATTTGCGGTAGTCAACAATCGGCGAGAAATTAGGTGCCAGAGTAAAATGAGTTTTGTATAGAAGAGACCGAATGTTCAAATGGTAGTGACAGAGAGAATTTTTGTCTTCGGAATCAACTAAAATCAGCTTCGAGTGTTAACAAAATATAAACTTTGGGTGGCAAAGTATCATTAAGGCAAACCTTGGGTTGGGAAAAATTAGTTTACTCTTTATGAAAATACATCATTCAACATTTTTCATCATTTTTTAAATACCAGATATATTTTATTTTATTTTATTTTTTCATTTTTATATTTTGATTACTTAATAAACTAACCAAAGAACATTTGACAACAACATATGGCAAATGATTTTCTTTATATATGTTGCATAAAAGGTTTTGGATTCAACAGTATAATCGGCAATAATAGAGAAGGCAAAGCATACATACCAAAAGATTGCAGACAGTTTTGGGTTGCTTGAGAGGTCTGAGAATAAAGTAGATGAATCAAGATAACAAAAAGGACAATATGACCTGAATCATGAATATAGGAAAGACGTTTGTGGCGCTGTTTCTTTCTCCGAAAGCAATGCTTCCTCGGTAAAATACGTCCTTCTTTTCTAGTACACAAGTCTTGAAATTTCTATCAAGTAAGAAACTAAATCCTCCGGAGGCTGAGACATTATAGATTGCCATTACCTAAATGAAATCTAGCAGAACTGGTAAGGGTTTGAAGAAGAAGAAGACTCTGGTTAATTAATTAATTTGCAATATCAATCTGAGAGCGTCGATCGATGGCGCATATAAAATGAATTCCTGTTAAAATTTGTCAGGAAAATGAGTTGTAACGAGGTGGCAGTAATCTGGCACATAAAATTTTCAAAGAAACTGCAACTTAATCTGAGGTCAAAGTTGTTGAGTCTTCAATTTGTTGGTCAATTAATTTTCTCATATATAGTTACTCATACACAGGGGCGGACCCAGGCCCTTGAGGGTAGGCCCAAGCCTGCCCTCAACTGTAAAAGAAAAATTGGAAAGTTTTATTAAAAGGTCAAAAAAAAAAAAAAAAAAAAAGTTAAAAGTTAAAAATTAAAAAGAAAAGTTAAAAGTTAAAAATAAAAAGTAGGTTTTATCTTTTTATATTCAAGTTTTTCTTTCCCAATTCCCAACTTTCCTCTTACATGCGGATCTGAATTTGGAGTGATTGTAATTCATCTTTTAGTAAACCTTTGTGTTATTTTATTTTTGTTAGAGTTGTGATTGAGCTCTAAATTTATATAGAATATTTTGGTGATTGTGGTGTTGTAAATGGTAATCATATTTTTTCCTATGATTTTGCATTAATTTCGATAGGATTTAGGATTTTCCTACAATTTGGGCCTTAACTGTTACCTAATTCTATTAATTTGTCTTTGTAAGCCTAACCGATGATTTTGAGCATAAATGACGTTTTGACTATAAATTGCAACTTGAGCTTGGAAACACAGAATGACCTGATTTTAGAAGATTTGGAAAGCTAAGAACCAGAGCTACAACTTTCAGGTTTTGGGTTTTTCCTAATTCTGACTGGACAAGGGTGAAAACTTGGCTTGAAATCGGGAACAGAATGTTGAAACGGAAAAAAACGTCTTTGGATGTGCTTTAGTATTTCTGCCATAACTTGAGCTTTAGACCTCGGATTGTGCTGATTCTTGAACATAGTAAAGATAATTTAAAGGGCTATAATTCATGTGTTTAACCACTTTTCCCAGATTCAGACTCTTTAATGCTCAAATTTGGCCCGAAAGATTCTCGCTGCTATAAGGAAAAGCTTTGCCGCGGTAAAACTGCGTCAGATGTGAAAAATAAAATGAAGTGTTTTGGCTTGCTAGGGCTTCGTCCTTAAGCAAAAGAGGTATAAATTAGCATGAAAATGAAGAAAAAGGTTCTTGTTTTTCATTTGGAAGGCAGCTCTTGGAAGAGAAGATTATTGAGATTTGATCTTCAAATTAAGAAGATTTCTCCATCTTTTGCTTTTTTTTCAATGATGAATCTTGATTCAGTTTGTTTTTGTTATTTTATTTGTTTTTGAGTATGAATTGAGTTGTTTAGCTAGGGTTTGATGTAACTTTGATACATGATTCAAATTTATTAATTATTTACTTTGAGTTTTAATTTCATGATTGAGTGTTATCCTTTGCTTAATGACTTTGGATGCTGTATCACCATTCAAATGTGTATTGTTGACAATGGGACTAAGAAGTGATTGATTGTGCCTCTTGAGATAATACCGTAGATTAAGCAAACGCTAGAAATAGTTTTACCGATTTATGAAATCTAGATAGAATTCCATAAAGCTTAAAAAACTTTGAACTATTAATCTTCATTTTGTTGGGTGCGGAGCTATAGGATAAGTAGGAAAATATAGCCTGAAATATATGTTTTTACAACTTAGGATGGTTTTTATCAAGGAATTGAACTTGGTAATAGATTCTATGATTTGGGTTAGCGTATCTAGGTGAAATCAACACCCTAGCATTTTTTTTGCATTTTGTTAATAGTTAGTTGTTGGGTTTTGCTTTAATTTCATTATAATTCTTTATATTTTCTTAAATTGTATTTAGTTCGTTTTTCCATCAATCTAATTTATTGTTGCTTCAATTAGGACTTAAACTAGAGAAATCGGTACTTAGTAACAGTATCCTCGTGGGAACGATACTCTACTTATCATTTTATTACTTTTTGCGACTATGCACTTGCTACATTTGCATGTTGTGCAAAATAGAGGTGGAAAATTTGGGCCTGGTTAGGCGGGTTAACCCTAACCCGGCCCGGGAAAATGAGGGTTAAGCCCGCCAGCAAGATGGCGGTCCGGGTTGACCTAACCCGGCAGCAACCCCCGGCGGGCCGGGTTGCACATGGCAACCCGCAACCTGGCGTTGCTATTTTGTCTCTTTTGCAAGAGACCCGGCAACCCGCCGGTTGGTTATGTGCAACCCGGCGGGTGGCCGAAAAAAAATAAACTTTTTATTTTATTTTTCAAATTACCCCTTTACCCTTGAAATATAGCCGTTGGAAGGGTTTTTTTCATCATTTCTCTTTCCCATTTTTTCCTATAAATTGGCCCTAAGTTCTCACATTTTTCTCACAACTCAAATTCTCTCATTCTCTCATATTCTCTAATCTCTAATCTCTCAATTATCATTTATTAGTTTTGCAATTTGCTCATATTTTAATTTTTATTAGTTTTTGTAATTTTTAATTCATATTTCCAATTTTCCAAATTCCAATTTCCATACTCAATTCTCTTTCTTATTTTTTATTCTTTCTACATCAAGTTTTATCCCATTGGGTTTTTCTTGGTGAGTTTTAACGAGGCAATAATTGTTGTAATTCTTATTTTTTTTATAAATGAATAAGTCTAATTTTTCTATATTATAATTTTATTGTATCAAAATTGAATTAATATTTGAAATGTTAAAACAAAAAAATTGAATTGAATTATGATATTTGAAAAGTTAATTAAAAACAATTGTATTTATAATTATTTATTTGAAAAGTTAAAAAAAAAAAACAAAAAAACAGGAAAATCGGGCTAACCCGACCCAGGCCCGCCACCTAACCGGCGGGTTAGGGCTGGCGGGCCACCATTTTAGAGAAAATGGCCGGCCTAACCGCCTGCCTTTGTTGGCAGGCGGGTTAAGCCCGCCCCCGCCAAACAAAGTAACCCGCCCGGGCCGGGCCGCGGTTACTTTTCCACCTTAATAAAATACGCATCAGTAGACTCTTTTAATATATTAGATTTAGTGGATCGTTAGATTCCCGTGATGTTTTTTCTCTTCACATTGAGGAGGTTTTTCCACGTAACAATTTTCTTGTGTTTCTTTGTAATTTATTTCATTAATTGATTGGCAAGCAGTGGCAAAGCGAGGGGGCCTCCCCTGGACAAAAATCCTGGGTCCGCCACTGCTCATACAGGACAGGACTCATCGGAGCTGTGACCAGTGAGGTTTTCTATTTTAATTTTTTAATCCAACCCATTCAAATCATATTGTTTTGCTGAAATCCGAAACTTATACTAAAAAAAATTCTCTTATCCATTTTCTAGGCACCAGCGTATATTCTTCCTTTAAGTATGCATATCTAATAAATTAGATATCCAGTTTTTTTCAATAAAAATCTCATTAGAATATGCTCATTAAACATATATAAAATTATACTTATAAATTGTATATATATATATATATATATATATATATATATATATATATATTATAACGATGTATCAAAATAGTAAAGTGATAAAATTACAAAATTAACTTCATTCATTAATGAGTAATACCATATCAATTTGTATTCATTTCTTGTATAAAGACTCGGGGTGTAAATATTAAACTAGTTTCAAATCGATCAAAGGATAATCAACTTGGTTTATTAAAGATTTTGTAAATATAATGTTACTCTTGATAAAAATATCATGGATAAAGCTCTTATAATAAGAAATTGATTCAACACATCGAACAATTTTCAGATAGATAACTAACAAAAGTCTCATTTATAACGTTTTGTTAATATTTCTGATTTATTGAGGTGTTTAGGTAAGTAGTCATTTATTTATAGGAAAAATAAAAATATTTAGTACATACCTTAAATTGAAAGAAAATTAATATCACAAAATGCTCTCAACGACCGATAAATTAATTTCCGGCCAGGTTAGGCTAACCAATTTTTTTAAGTATGCACAAAAGAATTTTTTTTTTTTTTTTTTTTTGGGTAAACTCGGTAATTGTATTAAAAGAAATAATAGAAATAACAACCTATAAAAGGATCACCCTTTAGAGACAAGACCTCGGGCATAGCCAAGGCACAAGTTTATACAAAATACCAAAAGGAGCCGAAATTAGAGATTAAAGAATTAAAATTATTTCTTAACCAAATTAGATATATAAATATAGTGTGACGATCGCATAAATTTACAAATTAAAACCTACAATATGTAGTAATAATATACAACTATCTTTTAATAATCTAATGATCGATTGATTCTAAATATAAATCTACAAAAATACACAAGAACTAATCGAAAAAGGAAGTATAAGAGAAAAGTTTTGGAATAAAACTGATCTCATACTTTTGTACAAAGTCTCAACTGATCTCTTTCAGGTTGGGTATGAAAACTTCCACCATAGCTATCATCTCCACTACACGTAGAGAAATCACTTGTTCCTTCTGAAGATGTAAATATAGTTGATTCAACATTTTCACCATTTGTTACACAAGATTGTATAACCAAAACAGATGTCATTCCTCCATAAAAATCTGAAGATGCTACCACATCACCAATAACACCAAGCTCTTTTTGCTCAACCCATCGCACCAGTTCTTTATCTAATATAGACTTTGCAATTCGCCTCTTTCCTACAATAACAAGGTCATATTTGTCTTCTATAGAATGGATTGCTCCCATGACTTGAACTGAATCATATGCCACAACCTCTTGAAACACCACACATGGATTTTTGATACTCCTTGCTCGAAATTCTTTTATAATGCTGTTATCAAGATCCGTCTCAAATTCATTTTCAACGAGATAATCTCCTTTGAAGTCTATCAAAAACACGGTAATGACTAAACCAGGTTGACTATTCATTCGTGAAACAAATGCCATTGCTTCTCGGTCATCAGGCCCTCCTAAGAAGAAAACCACAACATTGTAAAAGAAGGGGCGAGAGCTCAAATGATGATCATGCAAGCCTCTATCTATGAAAATCCCAACTGTGCATGGTGCATAGGTTTGTATTTTAGTGTTTAATTTTCGGAAGATGGTTGTTTTTGTATTTTCTTGTAGGCTTTTATGAAAGGGAATGATAACAAGAGGGATATATTTATCTCGCACAAGATTGCAGATGCTTTCGTGCATGTTTTTGTATGGAGCAATCATTGTGAATGGCTGAATTGTGATAGAAAAACCCGATTTCTTTGTGAATTTTGTCAAAGAACGCATGATTCGGTCAGTGGAATTTGAATTTAACTTAAACTTATGGTTATTGTAAGGGATTAAAAGTGGTACAGCTCGGCCAGTAAGCTCCATAAGGTGGACTGGATAGGCACAAAATGGAGTCGTTTCAATCGGATTCCATGCTTTAAACAGAGTGATGAGACTGTTGACGTTATCTTCATTGTTAATGCAGAAAAGGATTCGTAATTCCATTTCAAGTGGCATCCCTTGGAGTGGTTTCATCATGCGTTGTCCAATTGAGTCAGTAGTTATGAGTCTTCTTTCAGGCTTATAATAGATCTCTATTATAGGAGTCGCAATTGCTGATATTAGCATGTGGGACAACAGTATTGTAGTTACAACCTGTTCATCTACCAGCTGCACAATCAGAAATAAATATGTGCATAAAATTAGCCAATTTTTCAAGTTCGTGAAGAATGAAATTTGCAAATGAGCCAAATTATGTAGAAATTAACCGACAATGGGTTGGCTGAATAATAAAGGCTTGGGGTTAAGGGGTTTGCTCCCCTATGGTCTCACGTTCGAACCACAAGAATGATTAATAATATTATTAACCACAGAATATAGGATTTGTCCTATTTCAAAAACCTTGTTCTAGGTTGAAGGATTAGTCGAGCTAACACCGACACGCCCGGTAACCAAATAATAATAATAATAATAAGAAGTAGGGATATAAGTATTAACTAACCTTGCGCACATTCCAACCTGAAATTAGGACAAAATCAGGTATGCCTTTGAAGTTCAAAATAAAGCCGAATAAGATAGAACTTCTAACGTTTTTCTTGAAGAAGATGAAGGCCAAAATACTTGCAGCGATCTTCGATATATAGATCATGATCATGATGGTCTCAATCGCAAAAAATTGACTCCAATCGGTTATTGTGGGTATATTGATGTTCTGACCAATACGAATGTAGAGGAAAGGCATGAAAATATTTGAGATTATTACATCACTTTTTTCTACTAGCGCTGAACCTAGAGGTGGCCCAGCTGGTATAACTAAACCCATTAGTAGAGCCCCGGCTACAAAAGATGAACCTATATGATCACTCACGATTGAAACAACCACCGTGAGAATTAATATTCCAATAATGTATTCTGTTTTCACTGGCTTCTCCTCGGGTGTTCTTCTTATAATCATCTTAACTGCTGGCCGTACAATGAAGAATACGAATAATAACAACGCAAACATACTAATCTCCGCTTTAATTACTGCAGATTTACTGCCTCCTGAAATCATTATTCCCAGTGCCATATTACCCCACCCAATTAATTCATGGAATATTGAGCAGGCAAGGGCAAGTCTGCCTAAGTCAGAAGTAGGTAGATCCAGATCACCAACGGCATTTGCAGTAGACGTAAAATAAGAACTCGATAAAAGCATGCTGAAAAAGTATATAAAGGGTCCTGGTGTAAGTCCAGGAATGTAGCGTATAAGCAGACCCGTGAGGGTCATAGTGATTATGAAAGGAATCATTAAGACTATCAAACTAAGTTTCCAAATACTCTTTGCCATGTTTATGGTCATAACCGTGTCAATTTTTACTGCAAGTAAAAAGAACAAGTATATTACGCCGAACAACGATGTTGAATTGATAAGAACCATCTCTTTTGCCGGAAAAAGTTTATCCCAGAGTTTCTTGTTGCGGCCTAGGACAGAGGGTCCTAAGATCATTCCACTCTGCATGAAACAATTAAAACTCATTAGTGCCCTATTTCATATGCAATTATATATAATAATTAGGAAAAACAAAAGAAAAAATTGCTTAGGCAAAGCATACATACCAAGAGATTGCAGACAGTTTTTGGTTGCTTGAGAGGTCTGAGAATAAAGTAGAAGAATTGAGAGGTTAAAAAGAAGAAGATGACTTGAATCATGAATATGGGAAAGACGTTGGTGGAGCTGTGTCTTTCTGCGAAAGGAATGCCTCCTTTGTAAATTACGTCCTTCTTTTCTAGAACACAAGTCTTAAAATCTCTATCAAGTAAGAAACTAAACTCATTGGAGGATGAGACATTAATAAAGGTTGCCATTATAGTATCTTAATTTGTATTTGGGAAATGAAACACTCTTTCTTCTTTCTCTGCAAAATCTCCACCTGCGGACAGAAAAAGGGATTGAAGAAGACTTGGTTAATTTACACTATAAATCTGAGACAGCGCGCGCGTTTAAGCTGGATGGTTATATCTGGAGTCGACGGATGGATTCCAGTTATGTAACTTCGTCAATTGAAAATGAGTTGTAACGAGGTGGCGGTACTCTGGCAAATAAAGTTTGTTTATTTTCAAAGAGACCCCGACTTAATCTGGGGTCAAAGTTGTTGAGTCTTCAATTTGTTGGTCATTGTGTATATAATTTTCCAATAGTTACTCACAGGATTTAATTGTTTTTTAGTCCAACTCTTAATTTTGAGTGCTATAACGACTTAACATTATGAATAGGGTCTTAAGTAGCATAATAAATAGATCACATGGTACAATTTTAATTCATAAAATTTTCATTAGAATAAAGCTTTTATAATAAGAATTTAATATTATTTTTAAGGAATTACACTCAACAAACCTGAAATTGATTTTCAGGTTGGTCGTAGGCTAACAAAATTTTTAATATAATGAAAGATCTTATTGATGTTAAACACTCGCATTAATAAAAGAGTATTCACTTGATATATTGAGCTTTTTTATCATTTAAAATGTGTACTATATATTGGGAAGGAAGATAAATAAAGATAATATTAATTTGATAAATTACTATTTTCTAAATAAGAGTTTTATGAGTTTATAAATTTAAATAGATTAAAAATTTAATATTTTCTACTAAAAAGGAATAAATAAAAACTCTCCAGCTATTTAAATGAATTCATAAGTTACTGTAAAATCAAAATTGTTTATATATATATATATATATATGAACAACTAAATACAAAACAAATAAAAATCGCAATCGATTTATACTTTTGTACAAAATCTTGAATCAGTTCCTATAACATTATAATCATCTTGATTTCTATGGCAATTTGATGTTGAAAAATAAGAGTAGCTAGTCTCTGTCATAGAACTATTTTTCTCGGGGCATGAAAAATTGTTTTCAGTGATTTTCGCAACACATTGTATCACCAAAACAGCAACCAACCCGTCACAAAAATCAACCGATGCTAGCAAATCACCAATTACACCAAGCTCCTCATATTCAACCCATGGCATCATTTCTTTCTCCAACCTGCAAATCGCTCGTCTCTTTCCCACAATTAAAAGGTCAAAATAGTGTTCTACCCAACGAATTGTTTCCATTACTTGCCTTGTGTCGTTCGCCTTCAAGTCAAGATACTCAATATTAATTTGTATTACCTATATTTCCTGCAAATAAGTTCTTCAATGGCACTATCATCAAGTTCCCTCTCAAATTTATCTTCCTCTTGATGATAATCTCTTAAATCGATCCTCACCACAGTGATTGTCAAACTAGGATTGTGTGACATTCGTGACACCAATGCCAAAGCTTCTCTATCGTCAAGTCCTCCCAAGAAGAAGATGGCAACATGGTAAGAGAAATCATGGATTAACTTGAAAAAGCTTCACGAACTCTTGTCTATAAAAATCCCAACCGTGCATGGTGCGTGTGCTTGAACATTTATGTCAAAATCACGCATGCGGGCGGTTCGTTCATGAGCTTCTTCTGTTTGATGGTAAGGGATGATAATGAGAGGGATATATTTGTCTCGAGCTTGCCTGCAAATGTTTTGGTGCATTGACTTGTTTGAGGCAATCATTGCAAGCTCATGGTCAGAGCTTTTTGTGTATTTCGTTAATGCTTTCATGATCTCATCAGTGGAATTTGTCTTCGTTTTCGTTCCTTTGCCATTGTAGGATGCTAAAATTGGTGCGGCTGGACAAATAATCTCAATAAGGTGGACAACATATGCACGAATTGTGCTGCATTCAGATGCTTTAAGTGCTTCAAGTAGAGTGATGATGTTGTGGACATTTTCTTCTTGACGAACACAGAAAAGGATTCGTAATTCAATACTCAGAGGCATTGACTGGAGAGTTCTAATGCCGTATTTTACCATGGCAGACTTTTCAAGTCTCATTTGAGGCCTGTAATTGATATTTGATACTTATTAAAGGCGTTACAATTGTCGTCATTGTCGCATGGGATAACACAAGTTAGAAATGGGTAGGGACCAGGCCCGGGTCTTGGCCCGGTTGGGACCAGTTTCAAAAGGGATAACTTTCAGGGCCGGACCGGTCTTATGTCCTGGGATAGGTCCCATGGGACTAAAAAATTTTCATTTGATCCTTTTATTTATTTTTTCTATTTAGGGACTTAATCAAAATTATGTAGAAGGTTTTATGTAATATTTTAGAGGTAATTTTTAAAATTTTTAATTAATTAGTAAATAAATAATTAAATATAAATGAATGGTTAAATGTTAATGAATAATGACTTAATTCTTAATTGGTTATAAATTTAGGATGTTTTTAATTAAAACTTTAAGGAGATAATAATAATTTAATTTTAACATAAATATAATATTCACACAATCACACTTCACAAAGAAACAATTAAATAAATTTGATTTTATTAAATTATTAATTTACATCATCAACAATAATTATATCCTCCAAATTTGTGTTTCTGAAGAGGTTGAGTAGTTCGGGATCTTCAGGGTGCTGCTGATCTTTTCTGTATACATGAGTCCAATCCCGTAAACATGTTATGACTTCAACCATCTCATTGGTTAAAAAGCATATTCTCTCTTCAACAATGCAACCACTAATTGAGAATGTTAACTCAGATGCAATTGTCGAAACTGGCACAAAAAGACTGTCACGTGCCATTTGAGCTACTATAGGGGATCGACTTGCATTGTGGTTCCACCATTGAAGCACATTCATTTCTCGTTTCTCCTTCTTGGTCATGTAGGACATGTCCATTTGTAAGTACCAATGCAGCTCATTTGGTCTAAGTTGTTTATACGAGCTACTACTTCCACCACCACTGTTGCCGCGTTCCACAAACCTCCAGATGCTTGTTCCTTGCAATCCTTGGTCTTCATCAGGGTCCTGCTACTCATCTCTACTGGCGCTAAACACTCGAATGTGCCTAGTTTTATACAAAGAAAAAAGACTTTCCAATTTTCTGTTAAAGTTTATCAAATAGGAACTATAGTCGTATTGTACATTATGAACTATCTTAGTAACTGTACAATTAAATATGATTAATTTTAAATCTAGGATCTACAATAAGACCTAATCTATATAAGAATGGAGTATCTAACCAATATTTCCGGTATTATTTTTCCATTGGAACAACAATGTCGCGCAAATCTTCATTATATCTATATGTGGTAAAAATTGTAGAAATTCGAAGTAAAATATCTAATGCTACATTACTAGTAGGATAATAAATATCCCTTAATGTAGTAATAGAATCATAAAAAACTTTAAGAAACAAACAAAAAAAAAAAAAAAAAAAAAAAGGTTGCTAACTGTCTTATCGGATTCGTTGACGAGTTCATCTGAATAGTTCTTCCGGTTGACAAGCTCTGTAATTTGTCTTGTAATTGTTATAACTTTTTGCAACATCAGGTATGTGGAGTTCCAACAGACAGGTATGTCTGTACATAACTTCTTTGGTTCAATCAATGGATCCTCTTGGCGACAATATTTGCGGAACTCAATCCATCTTGAATTACTATCGGTGATGAATCTGATAGTCGCGGGTACCCTTTCAATCCTCGTATGTATAACTTTTAAACTTGCTTGAACAATCAAATTGATTGTGTGGCAATCACATCGCTGGTGAAAAAAATTGTCTTCATCAAGTGGATCCAATCTCTTTTTAAATAAAGAAATTGTCGATGTGTGATTAGTTGCATTATCAAGCGTTAGTGCCACAACTCTCTCAGATAATAAATATTCTTGCAAAACTTCAATAATTATAAAATAAATAGTGTAAAGATTATGTTTTTCATATGATGCTTTAAAACCTATCAATTTTTGTTGTAAATGCCAACTATGATCTAGGTAATATATTGTAACACTCAAAAAATATGTTTTTGATCTAGCAACCCATATATCTGAAGTAAGTGCAATAGATATATTCCTAAAATTTTCAAATTCTTTTTTAAGTTGATCTTTTATTTTATCATAAAGTCTTAGTATGTCCCTTCTAATTGTACCTATACTAACAGGGGTAAATGCTAGACAAAAAACACTTTTAATCATTTTAACAAAATAAGGATTTTCAGATAAAGAAATAGGAGAGTTTGTAGCACTTTTAATCATTTCAACAAAAAATATGGACTTTTCGATCATCAGAATTTGCTCGTCGACGACCCTCTTTCAGCCACCACCATCGCTCTCTACTTTTCTCTCTCTCCTTCTTTACCTAACTTCCTTTCCACCTATTCTCTTTTTCTTTTTCTTTTCTTCTTCTCCTTCTTTTCTCCTCTCTGTTCTCTTCCTTTTCTCTTTTCTTTTCTCTCTTTTCTTCCTCTTCTTCCCGATCCTTCCTGATTGAAAATCTATTACTATTCATAAAAAAATATATGGCAAATTCCTTTGGTCCTCGCTTGTTTATTATTATTACACTTTACTCCCTCAAAACTTTTAAAATCTAACACTTTACTCTCCAAAATAACAAAAGGCACTTTTAATCATTTCAACAAAATAAGGATTTCATATAAAGAAATAGGAGGTGAGTAAAGCTTGATATTTCCCTTTTTGGTGATTTATGATTCAATTGATTTAAAGAACTCTCTTTGGATTGTTTTGTCTATGATTTGGTATAAATTCATGAAAACAAAACTAAAATGTGGAGATTGATTGCAATAATTTAGGTGGGTAGAGCATATATGTTGTTCTTAAACCCAATTTGTTATAGATGTGATTTTGGGTATGAAAGTTTACACTGTGAAGCCTGACCATTTGGATTTTTGAAAAATTTATTTAAACTCTAGGTTTTCGGTTGGAGCTCAAATTCAGATATGTTGTTTTAGACTTCTTGAGGAGTGTTTGAAAAATTATTT